CGGAGGCATCTGGGGCGTCCCGGGGCCCGGGGTGACTTCTGACGCGTTCGCATCTGCAGTAGGAAAAGCACCGGCGGTGGAGGGTCCGAGGGAAGGGGTCCATGGAGCCCCGATGTACACGTTGGTTACCCTAAAATGTTCCCCCCCCGGGCTGTCCGGGGGAGACGTCTCCCGCGCCAATTTGCTCGGTTCGCAGGGAGTATTTCAGCCAACCCGTGTTGGTTTCCGTACGATAAAGGCGTTTGATTTCCTCCTTACCCGGACCGATGAAGGTTAGCGTCCCATTCTCAAAGCGCCTGTAACGAACAGTGGCTTGGCGTCACACCTGCTACTTGACGCCCAGTGCTCCCATTAAGGTGATCAACCTGTCGTTAAGTTTTGGGAATAGAATTATTTAAATAGAAATGTTTAAACATTTTTGTTCCCTCTTACATTTACCCGTATGTATTATGCCTTTGAAAGATGCCACCCAGAGCTGCATGTCCCCAAGCACGGGGTTGTCTTCAGGTCAGTTCCCGGGCAGTGCTTTCCCCTCTGCCTGCTGAGGGCTTCCCAGAGAGGACAGGGGAAGGAGAAAGGGTCGGTGATGCTGCTCTGCCCTGGGAAGAGAATTAGCTGCCCCTCTGTGCGGGGCTCTTCCAGAGGGCTCGGTCCTCTCTCAGGGGCACCCCAACGGTGGGTGGCGTGGTAAATAGGTGATGAGAGCTCTGAGCTGGTGCCCCATTCTGCCCCGAGGTGCAGGCCAAGGACTCACTCAGCACGAGCTTGGAAAGGAATGCCTTGTCTTTGAGTAATGCCTGTTAGATACAGGAAGACAACGCCTTCACAACCAGTTTGAAGATACAGTTGAAAGGGAAGAGAGGAGGCCTTGCTGCAGGGGGCAGAGGGGAAGAGAAAACTGGTCCAGCTCTGGGAAGTGCATGACGTGTGTCTTGAGGTGCGATGTGCCCAGGAAGTCAGTCCTGGGAGTGAGGAGAGAATTAGCTAATGACATCATCGGCCAAAACTTCTGGGCGATTCGTTCCTTTGTGAATTTACATGTTGTAATAGCAGTTCAACTGCTTTTCAATTTTTGGAAGAAGAAAATTCTTTAGGCTGACATTTGTCTGTGAGTGAGTAAAACAAACGTAGTTCATTATTATCCATAATATTTACCATGTACTATGCTGTATGCTAGGCCCTCCCTGTTTTCAGCAGGGGACACAGTAAAGGACAAGCTAGGCAGAGATTTTAAAAAGCTCCAGAGATGGCAGTTTGTTTTATTAATCACTTTGTAGCATCACAGTTTAAAAATAAATTTATAATTTTAGTTATAAATTTTTTAAATGTCTAGCATTAATTTTTTTGCAGATTTAAAAATATAAGTATGCACACAGTACATACAAAAAGACAAGGAAACCTCCTTCCACCCCATACCCAGTAGCTCAGCTTCCTCCACCTGCTGTGATTGTGTATTCTTCCCGCAATAGTCAAAGTAGTGTACACACAGTCGTATATGTGTTTTAATATAGTTTTTAGTGTTTGCTGTAACAGACAGCGCCACAGTGAACATTTTATGCATAGCTGCAAGCAAAGCCTGGTAATCACTTTTTATTAATCATCAAAATTCCTTAGCCATAAGGCTTATTAAGAGCTGGGTTATATTCCCTTAGATGTTGTGACAAGCCTTGTCAGTACTTAGAACCAAAGCATATTATTTAAATAGGTAGAAGATCGCTAGAACGTACACTTTGGAGTTTAATAGGTGAACTTATCAACTTATTAAAAACTTGAAGGAGATTTATCAGCCTTAGTATGAAACTGAGACGAGCTTAGAGAGGTCCAATTTTATTGGAAAACTTGATGGTTTTGTTTTGTGGGGTTTTTTGGTGTTAACTTTCTAAAATGCAAATTTCCAAATCTATAATTTGTGATAGAAATGGTGATTTAAAAAAAACACACCCTTTTAAAAATATGTTTATAATATGTGAGGTAGGAAAGGCCGTGGTGAGAATTTCACTTACACATTGTATGTTGGAGTCAATATGATTCCCTTGTTCCTTGAGTGACTGTTCTTGGCCATGTTCCTTTCATGTGGAGTGTGGAGAGGGAACATGCAGTGGCCAGCGGGTCTTCACGTGGCCTTGCTGCAGAGCTCACGATTGGGCCCGGACCATGGGTATCATCACCTCTTTGTGTGATCTGGTGAGTGCGCTGGCTGATCTTCTCCACCTGTACCTGTGCAAGGTGTTCTAGGAGGGTACAAAGAAAATGCACTTTGGCTTTAGGTTTCCCGTCCTTGTGATAGGATGAAGATGAAGATAAGCAGGGAAGGGGTAGAAGGAGCTCAGAGGTGCCTGCCTGTCTCTAGGTTGGTTTTGTCTCACTTTC